GCAATGTTGCACGCCCTAGGCGCAAACAGGATGTCCCAAACACGAACTTACGTAAACAAGCGCCAAACCTAGGCATGACTCACTGTAATGTAATTACGTACGGAAATTATTTCTTGCTTACGCACTTTCCACGCAAACAGTTAACTAAAGAATTACATTCCTATGTGTACACGAGGCATTCCTAATTAAAAATATAGATTTATGACTAAATAATTACTGTCCAAAATAGTGTCTTTTGACTCTGTCACATCTATAACTTGTGATCTTCCGCACGAATACTAAGCACCAAGTCTTACTATAAGCAAAAAAAGTAAAATATATATCCTGATAACTAATATTTTACTACAGGTTTTATTCATGACTAAAGGCACGTATTTACAGTGTGTGATTGTACATTCCCATCTAGATTAATATGACTGATAGACTCGACTGACCTCGCTCTGATGACTGCAGGCACAACATAATTAAGATCTGCATCATCGCAAACGATCATGGGATGGCAGTTGCCAAGTTCAAATGAAAGACGCTTTAGGTGAGTAGCACTTTCTGAACAAATGCTGGAAGCTGTCTTCTCACTACCCACCTGATGGAAGAATGTGTTATTAGAGTTTTGAATTTTCAACCGTCGGAGTTTATTAATTTATCAAACGCTTTCTGGGTTTATCAAAGTCACGGCATAACTAGCTCACAGAACGAACTATGAACACTCTCAACGCTGGTCTAAGCTTCTGCGGGGCACTGAGTAAACGGGACTTGGCGTCAAAGATAACTGATAAGATAAGATAAGATCACTAAACTGCTCGAGAAAGAGTTATCACACAATACTCACGAAGGCAACGCCGTTCACGTTCGTGTGTTCGACCAATGCTCGGCCTATGACGTCACCTTTGCCATACACGATGTTGACAACTCCTTTGGGTATGCCTAACGGTACAAAGCAAGCAAGTTATGAGCATTATTGACTACCCAGCCATAATAATACGATCAAAGGGTCGTAGACAGAGAGGAATATGATACTCCAGTCTTATGATAAATAACCAATTTAACAATATTGCTTTATCTAATTACAAACCCAGACTTTTTTTGGCTTGTTGTTTGCATGGTGTGATTTTTGCGTAACCCGTCCTATATCCATACACTATGCTAAACCCTATGGCATTCTTGTTTTGTTCGTAACTTTTAATTCAAATCATGTCATCAGGCCAAGCCCGGCCAGGTAATACGATTTTGGCCAAGCCGTTTTGTTTACACTTAGAAGACATCTAGAAACAATTTCGCTTCCAATTTTAATAGGGAGGCAAATCGCACTTAATGAATAGCCAGGTGCAAGAGAGCATAAAAACGTATTTACGCTCTCTTGCCAGGAGCGCTAGCCAAGATGGCGCATTGTGTACATAAAAATATTATTTAAATATAAGGAATCAGTTAAGATGGCCGACGACTTTAGAAAACATAAACAGAATATTAAAAATTGAAACTCTTTTGACCTGAAATTTAATGCTGATTCCAAATATGAAAAGAAAAAGGAAGTGTCCAGAGCTTGTTTTTGAGTTAATCAGCCAACGCGCGAATTTTGGGAGCAAAATTGCGCCACCGGAAGTGATTAGGAAAAAATTACAATTCATCGGATAATTGTTATTTGCAGACTCTTAATTAAATTGCACGAATGACGGCTAGTGTATTATTCTACAAAAATATATGGATATCTTTGACAAAACGGCAAAGAAACATATCGGTTTGTCATATTTTGTCCTTTCAGTGCTCTCAAAAGTCGAACAAAAACCCCTACAAAAATCTATTTTGTCATGTGTTAGAAAAATCAACTTTTTTCTTTAAAAAAATGATATAACCTTTTAGATTAATTTTTAGACGTTTTTTGGAATAAGTCCATAAAAAGTATAGAGTCCTGTACAAAATTTGAGGGTTTTGCCCTCTTGAAGCTCAAAACGTGTATGATTCTTCAATAAAATCTGATTATTCTCAAGATTATTCAGCGGTTTCATTCAACGTTCAAAATTAAGTAGTCAGCCACCTTAAGCAGTCGGGCATTTCCACAGAGTGGCTATTTATTCGCGCGGTATCAAAGTCCAAATGGAACTTAGTTGACTTTTGCCGATGGAGGAAAACCGGAGAACCGAGAAAAAACCCTAAAAAACCCCAACGTCTTTTCGGACCCCGTAATACTGTTTTGCACATATACCTGCTTCTTTAATACATTTTGCGAGGACGTGCACACAGAGTGGAGCCAAGGAAGAAGGTTTGATGATCACACAGTTACCACACGCGAGTGCTGGTACCAAGTGCGTGAGAATCGTGTGTATAGAACACGCCCAACTAGTGATGACGGCTACCACGCCCAAGGGATGTCTGGTGCTGTAGCTCAAAATACCTGAAATTCGAAACATTCCAGCTCAAGTACTGCCATCGTTTGGGTTGCCTGTGGTTACAGATAATCCCAACTAGATTCACGTGACTTTGGGAGCTTATAGCGCTTCGCAATCGTGCAATTTACCGTCACGACATTGTTGGGAAACAAACAAACAAACAAACAAAAAATTCGAGGGCACATTAATCTTTACTAGTGGAATGATAATGTTGCATCGTCTCTTGATTGCAACGACGGATCAACTAACAAATTTATAATTTAACCTCGCTAACCTTCACAGGTTGATTGTTCGACCGTATTCATAGCCTGGCCAGCAAGAAGTCTCGCCATATTTGCCTCGTTTGCATATTCATCACTGGTATTGTTTTTGGCATGCTGAGCAGTCTTTCCTTGATCTAGCATTTCGGCGCGGCAGAAGTCTTCGCTTCGTTTCTCCAACAAATCGGCGACTCGAATTAGAAATTGACATCGGTCACGCTACGTACAGGGAATTCACAATAAAAAAGCGTTACTTGTTGAATATGAGATATGCTTCCCATGATCTTCAGCGGTCTCGGCTTTGTAGGTTTTTGATGACTAACTTTATTGATATATTGAAGAATATTAGACCTTGGCGGTAGAATTAAGATCCTAAGAGGTGAAAGCTAACAAAACCGATTATGAAGTTGTTCAAGTTCACAGTAGGGGATGGAGGAGGTCGGGAGTTGCGCAATCGTGCTGTAGGGCCAAAACATTACAACATTTGTTCATGGCAAGAGCTTTTGTTTCTCAAACGGAAAAAAAAAAACATATTGTTTTGTTCTTTCAAGATATTAATCTTCAGTAACAGCTGCACACACTTGCAAACTCCTTGATTCTAGCTGCTTCCTAGTGTTATCTTGAAAGACAATGTATTTAAATTATTATTTCAACACGACTTTTATTAGTTATAATTCATTATGCATGTGTCTTTGGAAATATTCAAGAGAAAACTAAAAACATTTTCGTTCAATTTGTAACTTTAATCTTTTTTTTTTCACTTGACACTACGTGGTATTTGTAAAGCGCATTGAGAGTCTATGATGCGCTATATAAGAACATATTTATTATTATTATGCATATTAACATTTACGAGAATATGATGACGATGTATAATTAAATAACAGGACTATAAGGCTTTCGAAATGATAATTATATAATAATTGTTGCTTCATCAATTTTTCAAATTTTGTACCCGCTCAAAATTGGCCGAGTTTTTAGTCGTTCTTACACCATATTTATATTTTTTCGTTTACCTTGGGCACAGCAGACCACGAGAAGAGCGCTGCATTAGCAGCCTTCACAGCGTTTTCGACATCTTTTTTCGAAGATGATGGAAAAGCACACACGATAATAATAGTTATATAATTATTGTTGCTTCATCAATTTGGCAAATTTTCTACCCGCTCAAGATTGGCCTAGTTTTTAATCGTCCTTATTTACACCATATTTATATTTTTTCGTTTACCTTGGGCACAGTAGACCACGAGAAGAGCGCTGCATTAGCAGCCTTCACAGCGTTTTCGACATCTTTTTTCGAAGATGATGGAAAAGCACAAACGACATCCCCAGTTGAGGGGTTGATATCGTTTGTCGTCTGACCATCTTCTGAAGGCACGAAGTCACCATTGATGAAATTGTGGATTGGCTTGTCAGGCCTGATAATTGAATGATTAATAATTAACGTAAAAATAATATCAATAAATATTTAATAATCGATCAATGACTTACTCTAGTAAATATTCCACTATATCCGCAGAATAACTCTATTTACCAAAGAAAATTATTGAATTTTAATTGCTAATAGTTATATTATTTCCAGTGACTGATTCACCTTTATTAATATTTTCATATTCTAGATCCTATTTGTATCTAAATCAGTCTTTAAAACACTCTGTTTTCTTGTAAAACTGTCACAACCGTTTGCCCTGATGAAGAGCAAGATGCTCGAAAGCTTGGCTTGACTTATAATTAAAAACCTGATGAATCATAACTATTATGAATCTTAACTCGGCTTACAAACACTTATTGGACTCTGTTTACAGTTTACCATTCCGCTCGATGTCAACGACTGGATTGCATGAGAACTAACGCAAATGCATTAGCTTTCTCCTTTTTTTACTAGAAGGAAAGATGGCGGACTATTCTCGGGAATCCAGGTGTAAAACTCTGTCCCTCGTTTCTCGCTTAACCCCCCTCCCCCCGTGCCTCCGAGGATGGTTTGGACCTGGACAGAAGGATAGAGCTGTTTCAACTGAAAAATTCTCTTTACCTAAAGAAGCAAGACGTCTAAAGAAAGTGTTTTATTCGTTCATGAGAGGACGGTATTTTTAGCTTTTCGCGTCTAGGTTTTATTCAATTTCGATTTTAGTGTTATTGCATTTGTTACCTAGCAACCTAACAACCTAGCATTACCTAGCAACCTGTATCATAAAATTGATTATTGGCAGTTTACTGAAAAACAGATTACACCTTATTCGATATTGATCGATACTATGAAAGAGATCCATCAGACAGGTATAAGTACTGCCATTCTAACCGATACGACTGCTACTGCTACTGCTCTGCTGCGGTTTTCGTATGACTTGCAAAACACACAGTACTGACTTACAGCACGTACAATGGTACAACATGCCGTAAAGTATTTTTGAAATGGCTTTCCGCGTTGTCTTCAAGTACTTCATCCAATCACAGCGCGTGCTTCTTGACACTTCTCGAGTGATCTGCCAATCTCCAGGTGCCTTATAACTCCACACAGCACAGCAAGAAGCAAGTTTTCATTATTTCTTTTATAAAATACCAATTACGTTAGTGACGAAACTGAAAGTACGCGAGCATGCTGCGTGCTCTCATAAAGCACGCGCTCCCAACCAATCAGAACGCGAGATTTAGAACAGTTATTTTATAATTCTCGCCTTGATTTTATCTCGTGAAATGCCTACTTCGTGTTGTGCTACTGTTTCTAATACCAGAAAGATTTTTTGCCTCAATCACCGAAACCTTATCTCGGTTTTACAGTTAGATAAATGTTAATTTTCAGCTACTATATTGGGTAGTTCAGTGCATGCATTAGTGCTTGAAGCGACAGGTGAGCTGGAGAGTCTAACCAGATCGATGTGAATAAACGATAAAGGTCAAAAGTGAAACAAGCTAAACACTGTTAAATGCAATACCGATAAACTTATAGGATTCCATATTCTTAGATTCAATAAATAACTTCTCTTCTGGTTAAGGATGATGCTAGAAATACAAGGAGATTTGCTGTTGTAATGACGTTGAAACACAATTGCGGTTTCTGATATTTTTCAATTACTATTGACATCAGTTCATTCGTTGATCGCACTGACGAGTACCCTCATAAATTCATAAATTTGAAGTCTTACGAGTAAGAGCATACGTTTCAGTAAATTAATATCACAGATAATCATTTTGTGCCGGATTTGTTGTTTTATTTTTTATTCCCAAGGGGCTAGTCATGCAATTTTGAATGACTCTACCTAAGAGTTAGCATACAGGAACTGGCTAAAAGTAATACATGCCCAACACAGCGAAATTTTATGTCCAAAAATTAAATCTTCGCTTTTTCATAGGTAATTGAAAATGAAAATTTCTTAACTTTTAGTTCAGTAAATAAGACAATATTATTGAGGATTTCCTGTTTAGTCTTTATTTATTCACTGGCAGTATCGAGACTTCACGCTTCCCCACCCAATAAACTAAAGTTAAAATTTTTATTTTATAATATTCATTCCATTTGAGACGATAAATATTAAGATTATTGAACTACATACTAACCTCAAAAGATTCCCAACTTGCTGTAAAAACATTCTGTGAACTAACTTCGTAAACAGCTGAAGTTCGCTTCGTAGTCTATGCTGATTTGCATGCAAAGGTAACGGCTGACTTCAGCCCTAAGTATTTATTCCATCCGCAGAAAAAAAAAAAACACAGCATAATTTGTTAGCCGAGTGCCTTCATGCATAAATGACAAAGGTAAGCCTGATTAAAAAGTCAAAATCTAGTTCAATTACAGATAAACAGGTAGACGCCATAAGGTCGAAGCAGTTGCCATAGTAATATATTTTAATAGCCGAGAAAGGATTTAACTTAGCGCTAAAGAATCGCCTTATGCTAGTTTACTTATTGTTGACCAACAGGTGGGTTTCGACTCATAAGATCAATTATATAATTCAAATGAGTTTGCTTTTAATATTAATATTCGCCTTGACCTACTGACTAAATTGTCAAGAAAGCTAAATAATATATAACAATAAATATACAATTTTCCATGATGGTTAAGCAGTTAAAGTGACTTTTTACCTGACAAGTAATCCCTATCCTGAAACAATGCCCAATAAATGATGAACAAATGTCGAAAATTTTGAAAAATAGAAATAAAAAAGGAATATATTATGTTTAGATTTTGACGAGTTGTTCAAGAGTGATATGTTTGCAATCAATTATTAAGATTCACGTGGCCGTTATTTAGACTTGAATCAATATTACGACACTCCGGGCCTCGGTCATAAAAACTTCTATAATAGTTTCTGCATATATCTTCTGTGCAACAAGAACCATTGCAAAAAGAATTTTTTTAAAACTATTTTGCGTTGGCTTCACCTTTGTGATTCCAACTTTAGGAAAATGAAATACGAAATTCGGGAAAATGTCAGGAAAAATTATCATGCATTACTGAATGAATACTGAATTGTGATGATTAATATTGATAGTTTTTCTGTGTTAATAGACGACTTGCACAGGTTACGTGACCCTACCTCCCTTAAAACGAGGAGTTGTGTGAAAACGAACTTTAGAAAAGAAAAGAGCAGCTCAGCAAGTTTCAGCTCATAATGTTGACTATAGGATAAATGGCATTAAATATAAAATCAAATATTTTATAAAAATTCACATGGAAAAAAGTTGCCATTCAGCATATTTTCCCATACAAATCTTTATAAAATATTTATTTAATGCCATTTCTCCTTTTTCGCTTGTTATAAGCTAAACCTCTGCTACCCCTTTCTAATAATAATAATAATAATAATAATAATAATAATAATAATGTCTTTATTAAAGAAATGATAAAATACATATCATTAACGTGATTACAATCATAAAACTAAAAA